TGAGAGAGGCGCCAAGTACAGGAAGAGATAGCAAGGTCAGTTGGTTAGCTCAACCCAGGGATTCCCTCCTTGGGGCATCAGTACCAATGTGGTGTTTTCGTGTCGCCCCTTTTACTATATTTGGGTTTGTGGAGAGTTTCAGGCTAATTCTTGTCTGGCATTATTCTTAAGTATGTGTGCCTTATATAAATATAAAGTCTGCTTCAGGCTGAAGATCAGTTTGATCACATGTCATAACTGTCACTCTGCAGCAGAGTCAGTGTTGGGCATTTTAACTGCTGGGCTAGAGGAGCAGTAAAAACACCCACCCACTTATTCAAGGCAGATAAAATGATTGTGAACTACAACAAGAGCAAGATTCTGACCAACTAGCTGAAAAAAAATGTGTCAACATAATTTGAAACAACAGTGAATGCTCAGCTGGGAAGCACATTTTCCCACAGCAGAGAATTATTACAACATCATTGCACTCAACAGGCTCCAGGCATCAAATACAGTGAGCTGCCCATCCTGCAGTGAGGGAAGCACACTGCAGGATATTTTGCACAGCTGATATTTTGTCCTCCCTTATGGTATTAAGAAGGATTAAGAAGGAATAATTACTGAAGCAATTTGCAAACTTGATTTGGTGGGAGAGAACATTTCACTTGTGTGAAGCAAGTTCTGTGGGAGGAAAAAAGTGCTTTTGAGTTCGTAGACACAGCAAATAAACTGCCAGCTGGCTTGGTGAAACAGATCGCATCTGTGTTGCTGTTACAGTAGCAATAAAGGCAAAAAATGGTGTTTTGCACCAAAGAGCTTATGGATAAGTTTTTTAAATGGAAACTGGGGCTGATGTTCTTGTAACAGCCATGCACTAAACAATAAATCTTTTTGGGTGCCACACCTCACCAGTATCCTGACTAGAGTCATTACAAGGCTCCACCAAGAGCCTGTCGCTACTACTGCTAATCAACACCAGCAAAGCTCTAGTAATACAAAGAATGGTTTGGACACCCCACCAATAAAAGGCATCCTATCCATTGTGACTTACATCTGTTATTCACTGGGAATCTGTGGTTTTCCAGCAAAAGGATCGTCTAAGACCTATGCAGGCCATAGCACAGCTAGCATGATTTAATTCTTGATAAGCAGTGGTCCAATTCGATGCACAGTTGATTTGAAGTTGCCCAGTTTCCAGTTTGTTCCTGTTACCTGTCTGCTTACTTGTTGGCTACCCTGCAAGCCTCTGTGCCACACTTCTGGGAATAAACCATTTAAAACTATTCCTGCCTTCCTGGATATTTAAGGTGACTATATCAGCTTAATGCTATAGGCTCATGAGAGTGAAACAAAAAGAACACACTTCTTGCACATGAGTTGGGATAATGGACCTGGAGTACAAACCCATCAGTCATAACAAGTGCTTTCAGCCACAGTGCACAAGGCCTCTATTTTCAAACAGAGCTGACTTATAGTTTGCTTACACTGTCAACTCACAGCAGTAATGCAAATCTTGGCTCTGAGGACGTCACCTTTGGCTGACCGGTACTGTTACTGTTTGTAATGCCATGTGGGAGAACTGGCAACAGTTCAATTTGTTACAACTGCACCATGGCAGAACAGAGTGCTTGAACACTGTGAAATCTTTTAATTATAGTGGTAATATGTTTTTTGAATACACTGAATTTTATGCAGTTGAAAAATGCATTGGTGAAAAAGTGTTTATTTTGAGTTAAAAACAGACTAGTTAACAATTACAGGGACAAATAGACGAGATACTAAACATTAAAAATACCAATTTGTGACCAAAAACAGAACTCCAGAGATATGGAGGTTATTAGGTTACATGGTAAATGGCCTGTATTTGTATAGCGCTTTTACTAGTCCCCCCCTAGGGACCCCAAAGCGCTTTACACACCCAGTCATCCACACATTCACACACACATTCACACACTGGTGGAGGCAGCTACAGTTGTAGCCACAGCTGCCCTGGGGCAGACTGACATTACATGGTCATTATTGATTATCTGTAGGTGTGAATGTTTCTCTAACTCTGGGACAGACTGGTGACCAGTCCAGTTCATACCCCACCTTTCACCTTATGGCAGCCGGTTAAGCCCCCCTCCCCTGAACTCTATAAGCGGAAGCAAATGGACAGATGGATGCTCCTGTTGATGCGCCAGGGACCAGTATTGGGCACTTTCCAGGGTTTTCAACTTGGACCAGTGAGCAACCAGTCAGCCTTGCATGCAACCCAGTCTACGCATGTGTAACATGCACACATGCGCAGCCACTAACACGGCGTTAGTGTAGACACGCTTCACTGTGAGAGACAATGTAGAAGGGACCTGTAACAGCAAACCTAATCACACACCTAAATCATAACCTACCCAACTGAACATGGACATTTTAAGTTAAAAAGGCAAAGTAGCCAAGGCTAAAGCTAGCAGCCTCTGTGTGAGCAAAGAATCAAAGCAGACGAGAGGAAAATGATGGATACAAGTAAAACAGAGAAAAAGTCAATGTCCTGTTATGTGATGATTCAATAAAATGACTATATGTTACAATCCCTGATAGTGCATTCCTTCAAATGGAGAAAGTCTTGAGGGATGGCTACTATGAGGAAAGGCAGCGGGACACATCGTTGTGTGCCTCAAGTTCACAGGGTGTTTCGGTCTTTTATCACAAGCTATTCTGCCATTTTTTAGTTTCTTTTTACCTTCCTTGGTTAGGTTTAGGGATTAGAAATCTGATCTAGATTATAATATTAAAATTTGGGACACTTCATCAGTAGTGGATGTAGATCCCATGAGATTATAAACATTACTAGAAATTGTTTATTATTAGTGGTAATTTATAGAGGAAATTGTTACTTTAGCAACAAAACTATTAGAACCAAACCTCTCAACCATTTTGAATGCTGATATAATCCATCCAGTTTTAAAGTCTTATAATAATTGAAATCAACTTTAATTTCGATAATGCTTTACAGTAACTGCCTAATTAAGCAATCAGAGGCATTTTCAAGAGACTACTGCGACTGAGAAATGCTTCAAGGACTATTTTATATAAACAGCCAAAGCATTTTAAAATCCCGTGTCGTCACTGATCCCTGTGGATAATTTAGTGATGTTCTAAACCAAAAAAGTCCAATAAATGGCCAAAGCAACATACTGTAACTTCGCCTTAGCAGACTTGACCAGCACTTGAGATCACAGCTTATATGTTGTTAAATTGAGAAGAAAACATTTACTGAGCAAAATATCAGTCAGTTACCCTCCTTTGGTCTTTGAAAAGCTTCCGAAAACAATCCAAACCCATACAGTAATCAAAATTAATGTAGGTGCAGATGAATAATTACATAAGCATGGACACTAGCAGGAAAGGTCAAACTCAGTGCACTGTATTAGACTGCATAGAGTCTCTGGGGTTCAAATGCTAATT